ATACACTTTCGGCTTGAGTAGCATCCATATGTGTTTCGTAAATTCCAATTTCAACTAGAGAAGTTATTTGACGCGTATGCATATATTTTATAGTATATGATTTCATTCCTAAATATGAAGCTTAGTAAACAAAGCGTAAGTAGTTTGTGATGAAAAAGAAAATGACAAAATGCAGTACATCATTAAACCTTACATTTTTCGTGAAAATCCTTGATTACTAATGAGTCGTCGCTGCAAATTTAAAAGAAATTAATTTAATGCCATGGGTATTGCAGTATATTATACAGAATAAGTACTATGCACTTTACCTATTAAAGCTATATGTTTTCTGAATTTTGTCTTGTATTTTTTTAATGCAATTCACTTCGATTTCATTTTCCTTTTTAAAAAACTCCATTTGGAGAGTCTCCAATAAATTTTTAACTTTCCGAGAGTTTCTTATGTGTTTCTGTAGCGAAAATATATCACACAATCTGTCTCTCCAAGTGGTGTACTCATTGATGAACAAGGAAATTATATTGTTTTTTGTTACGGAATTGTTACCCATATTTAAATATTCTTGCACGAATTGTTGATCAGTAATGTTTTGAATTTTCTTCGATGCCTCTTCGTAATCTGAATCGAGTATGTCGATATTGGTATGTTTTTTTACGTATTTTTTAAATTTCTGCTTAATCAATTCTTTTTTTAAATCTTTTGTATAATTGTAAGTAAAAATTTCTTCATCCCCTACAATTGATTTATGTTTTTTGGTAAGATATTGACTAACCAAGTAACGCTCTTTGAGGAGCTTCCAATTTTCCGTATTTACAACGTCCAGTCGTAAATTAGAAATTACATCGGGATAACTATTATCAATTCTGACAACATCTATACGAAAATCAATGATGGAGTTTAGTACTACTATACTGTATACTGTAGATCATGTACTGTATGTATTTAAATTTGTACCTTCTTGATTAGGTTCATTCTCTGATGTTTTTTCGAGTAATCTAATGTAACAGCAATAATTAGAAGTTATATAGAACATTAAAACGTTCAATACGCACTTATACATGTTTTTTAGTCGATATCTCAGCAAAGAGGAAAGAAGAAAGGAATCTGCTGCAAAGATATTCTCTTTTTTTTGCTTTTCTTCTTCTCTATCTTTACGAGTCGCGTTTATTTTGCTATTATATGATTTAACCAATTCGCTTCCTACAGACAAAACCTGTGCTAAATTCATTAAATTTTTAAAGCTAATAGAAGGGCTGATTCTTAAATTAGTATCTTTAAATGCATTGAGAACTTGATCAGCACTCATATCCTTTACACTGTATTCTTTAGTTGATTCAAAGGGTTCAACCGTACGACAAATAATGAACGATTGATTGTGGCATGATTCTATTGGCATAACAGGAGGAGGGTATAAATCCAGAGTCAACTTATCTCCAGAATTTTTATCCTTAATATTAAGCTTTATATAAAATATTATTTAATATAATTGTTATATCATTGTTTCACATATAATAATGCACTATTTCAAAAATGAAAGTCGTACTTTGAATCCTGTATGAACAATGAAATCTTCTTCGTCTTGGATTTCTTCTTCGACCTCATATTCGTCCATAATTGAATCATCATTATTAGCACCCTTACACTCGTTAAAAAAATCAAAATCGAAAATCATCAGATCTTGTGCATCCATTAAACAAAATGCAGCGTCCGTTAGTTTTGTGAGGTATCTATAATTAAGCAATGACTCATTATAAAGTTTATAAAAATGCATAAAAACTTGATTTCATTAAACTTTTGGCTGACCGATGAAGAGTCACAAGATTACTCTTTGCTTTAGATGAGGTGTTATTATCATAGCAATTTTTTTCGGGCCAATGGATGATAAAACCATGTTCTTTTTCAATCAGAAGATAAATTCCAGGTTTAAGGTGAGGTTCGATTATCTCTGTATTGTTGTCACTTATTTGAGGTTTTACGAGAAGATTATAACTAAATAAAGAAAAATTATTAGATGAATTCAAAGATAGAAAAAGAAAAAGGAAAGCACTACTGACATTTCTTTATCTATTACATTCTTTTGCAATAAATATTTTGCGATAACTTCGCATCTTCCATAGATTCCTATAAATCCAAGTGACTTTGTGTTCAAAGAAGCGTAATTAACCTTGGAGATTGATTCAAAACTACCCGGAACCATATCATTACAAAGCTTCTTCAAGAATTCTTGCGAAACAATAATCTTTTCAACAGCTAAATAACAAAGGAATTATCGAACTTGTTCTAATAATATGAGCACGTATTAAAGCCTTACCTAATCCAGTCGACCCCGTGTCTACGTAAAAATCAAGCAGACGATAAAAATTGGGAATTTTATTACAAAGGTCCATAGGATCATTTGCGCCTTCAACGAGATTAGGACTTTCTACCCCCTTCAAATGAGCCTTAAAGTTGTCGGTATAAATAATTGGATCGAACTTAGAGTTTACGTCGTTCCGGTCGTCATTTGCTAAGTTGCTGTAGACATTATCAGAACCCGCTGCTCCTACAGAATTATCCGAAGAAATCTTGTCTATATATTTCTTACGACCAGAATCAATGTTTGCATCATTTTGGTACGTAGATGCGAGAGAGTTCACTACTTAGCAAAAGTTAATATATTATATTTTTATAACTAGGATTTTACACAAAATTACAATTTCTTGTCCTAAATAAGTGAACTTACCATGACTTTGGTCGCCTATATGACTCAGGATATTCGTGGGATCTGTTAATGTTTAAATTAAAAATGTTATCAAAATATCTGTTTAGGTGCACGATCAATTTAAGATACAGTACTGATTTAAACCAATCTATATCTTCACGAATTAATTTTTTGATTCTATCTTTCCCTGCGTTATTTTCTTCTACCACTACTCATGCTCGTAATAAAGTAACGAACCTGTATTTGAATAAGCTTTTTCTTCCATATCTTATTATCGTTCAAAATTACGATAGAAAGAAAATTTTGAATCATTCGGTATCTAATTTATATATGTTCGTGAAAAATAAATACGGTGTCGTGCATCCAAATTTAGAATCAATGAACTCTAATTTTTTCGTCTGCGCAGGTATCATATAACATAAAAAGCAGATGCAGTACTGTACTAATTCTGGAATAATAAAACTTTATCCAGACTATAGAATTTTCGTTTTCTTTCTAAACATGGAAAAAATGGGAATTCTTTTCCTGCGAATTGAGATTGAGATGGATAATAAAAAATTTGAAGCAGAATCAATGAGTTTAACTGTGTAATCACGTAATATTGTACCTAGAGTTTGCAGAAATTATGTTTTGGGAACTACTCATATAATAAAATTAAAATCTATTTCATAATGTAAACTTGTTTTTTAAAATGATCAAATAATAAATTGTGTCACGAGCCAATTATGCTTCGCGTCACGTAGTTTTAAATTTTCTCGCAGCGACCAAATGTGAAGACCCGTTTACCGGCATAGTTATTATTAACGATCAGGTTTTCGCTTATTTTAACATTTGGCAAGAAAATACGTACGCCAGAACCAAGTAACTATCTTTTTTAGAAAAATATAATTTGTTTGAATGTCATTGTGACTTGTAAAAGATCAATAATAATGCGATTCTATTTATCATTATAAATCAAATTAAAAAAATAACCCCAAATCACAAATTTAAAATATGTAGTGTCGGGTCTGGGTTGGCGACACAATCACAGCACAATTCTCAAGCTCATGGTCCTTTCGAGTAGGGATGTAAGGTGAACAAAAGGGATGAATTTGGTGAGTTATGTGATTTAAGAAACATCTGATGATTTTAATTATTTCTTTCCTTTTCTTTTATATCATATCATTAAATACATTAATTACATTTTACACCGATAAAAATAATAACAGAAATAATCAAAATAAATAAAGAGACAATAAAAACAAGGTTGAGGATGAATTGTCTTTTTTAGTAATTTCCTTATTATACAATTGCTGAGACATTATTTAGAGTCACTAGTGTCAACCACTTTTCACTGTAACACTTGTATATAGAAATTAAAAATCAATCAAAAATCAAAATTTGAAAAAATAATAATACAAAGTTTAATAATTAAGAGATAAGTGAGGCATTTTCGTGATCTTTGTTAATAAAGTAAAAAATGTTATATAATTAATGTTTAGATTTTGAGATACATTGCTATTGTTAGGTGTTACAGCAAGTCAGTCACTAAGCAGAACAAGATTTCATGTAACTACAAACATGTAAAGATGGGTCCCTAAATTATTTAGCATATAAAATTTTGCAGATCAATTATGTCTCTTTTGAAGGGACATAATTCAAATAATACTTGGATTAAGTGGCCTAAATTGCAAAAAACCTTTGTACATAGTTTTTTTTTGACTTTATATTTAAAAAAAAACTTTTTTAATAGTGAGGAACATTTGATTATATCCTCACCTTTAATTTAGGGATCCATCTTTACAAACATGGTATCCAATACTTAAAGTAGTGGTATGTTTTGATTTAGTCAAGTATTTTATTTTTATAATTTATATTGCTATTCCTTTATTAACTCTTATTTCTCTTTTTTATATATTCTTTCATTTATAAAGGATAATGCAGCTATACTCTAAGAACAATAGATAAGCTGAGTTTAAATTACATAAGTTTTTTTAACAATCTCTTCTTTTTTCCCATATTAAATAATTATATACTATCAACCAAGAGCAGATTTTTCTTGCATACTGTTTATAGCAATTAGTTACATATATAATATATTTCATATATTACTTGCTCCTTATATTATATATGTTAGCCTACTACTATATTGATAGATTTTGATAAAAAAGTCTTTTAGAAAAGAAAAATGAGAAATTATCTATATTTGAAGAACTAATACCTGGTTAATAATTTATTCTATTATAGAAATATATTGATAAATTTTTAAAAAAGATTTTGCTAAAGATATTAATAAGATTATTTGGTTTTGAATATAATCCCAAAAATTGAAATCAAACAGATTTAAATAAACTTGTATGAGGTTTATAATAGTATTAAAAATAATAATGAATTATAATCTACATATTAGATTTAATATAAACCTGAAAATCAAGAATCAAATTGAATTAAATCATTAAGATTCTTAGTTTTGAACTAAAAGGTTTATTTGTTAATATATTATTTTTAGGTATTTGTTTGTTTTTTTTTTATTAATCAGTATAAAAAATATTATATATTTCTTCTTTTTGTTTTTGTTTTTGTTTTTAGAAATCCATATTTCAAAATATATGAAGTTTAAAAAATATTTTGGACTTTTTTAGTGATTTATAATCTTTTAAAAATGGATTAAAATTTTTAAAGCAAAAATTAATATTTAAAAAATCAAGAATTAGATTTATATAAGAAAAAAGAAATTAATAAATTGTTAAAAAATTTTATAATCAAAGATTTTATTGTTTTTAAAAAAAATAATAACTAATATATTGATGTTGCTAATTATTTAAATTATAGTAAGATTTCTTTTTTTACAGAATCAGATATAAAATATTATCAATAAAGCTAAATTGTATCGAAAGCAGAACTTTTTAATATAAAGATAAAATAGAGTAATATGTAGATATTATTTGATAGGTAATCATTAAAAAGAATTTTAAAATAAAAGTTATAAAATTTGAATTAAATTTGAGTAATTGGTAAAAGGATTTTTTTAAAAAAAGAAAAAATAAATAATAGAAAAAAAAATAATTTTGAAAGTAATTATTATTCTTTCAAAATAAATTATATTGGTAAATCTGATTGCTTTGTTTATTTTTTTGATGATATTATATATATAAATATATTGTTTTATAAATTCAATAAAATATAAAGTAAAGAAAATAGATTGGTTATACTATATTAAAAAATAATTCAAAAAATCTCTTTTCACAATCAATAAAATTTGTAAAAATTTCTTTTTAGAAAATAAAAAGAAAAATGGTTTCAAGGAATGATGACAAAAAACAATAGCAGCTATAGAAGGCTCAACATAACAACAACCATAACTAACTAATTTATCAGATAAGAAAAAGAAGCAAGAAGAGAAAACACACTGCTCAGAATACAACCATATATAAAGAAATCTAACAACACAGTTAACAAAAGTAATCTCAATAACAAAACAATTGAAACTACTTCAAACACAAAAACAAATCTATTATCTACAACCACCATACTAATCACTAAATAACAAAATACTTAAAAAAACTCTAAAACAGCAACCAGCTCTCTAATAGAGCAAAGTAGCCAAGAATTGAACTTAATCTTGTTATGAAGTGATTTAGTATAGCAAAAAATATTATAAAGAGCACAAGAAAAGCAAACAGTATGTCTGAACAACACAAATGAAAAAATATTAACAAAAGATTAAAAATCTATTAACAAAAATTAATTTATAGTCAACAAAGGAAAAAAAAAAACCTACAACAATAAAAAGAAATCAAAACTCATTTTGCTCTTTAACAAAACAGTCAGAACATTTCAAGCTAAAAATCTTAGCAAGTATAATCAAAGATCAAACAACCAATCTAAAAATCAAATATATTATTTTTGCATTTATCTTTTCAAAAGGTCTTTTATTAGTCCACAGTGAAGGGAAAAACAAAAAAAAGAAAATTATAGCTATATTTAAAGATCAACAAGCAGTAGATCATGCAATAACAATTAAACTATTAGAAATAAGTGAACACAAACTCAAGCATATAAAAATCAAATGCTATAAAATCAAAAAAAGTAAATCTATGGTAATTTGAAACATTCCATAAAATATAAAACTCATAGAGGTTAAACAAGCCTTTATTAAATTTGACAAAATACAAGAAATCACAATAAGTATATAAAATTTTTGACAATATATCACAATTACATTTGAAAATCATATAACAAAAAATAATCTAATCAATCAAAGAAACATTCTGATCAAAAGAGATATAATTAGAATTAATGATGCAATATTTATCTTATTTCAAATAAAAAATAGACATGAAATTCCACAAATATACCATCAAATACAATAACATGGAACTTTAAGACCATGCAAAGAACATATATAATACATTTCTAAAACAATTAACACATTATATAAATGCAAAAGATTTGTAGTTATCAGTTTGAAATATAACAAAATCTACTTAATGCACTATAGCAAATACTACATATATTTTAGATGAAATAGAACTCAACTTCACTCTGATTTCAAACAAGCTGTATGGAATGTGAAATGCATCAACTTACCTTATCAAAGAGTGTTCAACAAAATAGAGATGATAACAATGAATAGACTACAATACTACATAGGTAACCAAATTTAAAAATCTATACAATAAGTTCAGGTCAGCAAAAATATATCAAATCCAGAACATATACAGTTCCAAGAACATAACAAAACCAAGTCTTAGAAGTGGATCATTCGCAAATGCAGTCAGAAAAAATATAAGACAAGACTTATATCTTGTGGAGATTTCATATATCCTAAATCAAATTCAACAATAATTCACAAATCTTTATAACAAAATTGCAAAAATTGACAAAAAAGTTATCAACTTAGAATTCTATAATAAAAAATACAATAAAACCATAGAAGAAAAAAAAATGAACAACTTCAATATCAACTTATAAAACAAATAATTATATATGAAAAAAAAGCATCAAATAAATCAAAAACCAACAAACAAGCATTTTTACATCAGTAAACAAAATACAAACAAGTATCAATTAGATAATAACAATAATTGACCACATGTTCAATACAGCTTTAATCAGAACAATAACAATATTCACTTATTAATAATAGGTAACACCTATAATTATTACAATTCAAATTATCAAACAAATGACAATAACAACAACATTATTATCAATCAATAAATTCAAAATACTATATAGCAAATAGAAAATCAATTCACATAGTTAAACACAAATACAGAAAAT